ATTTTCCCCACTACCCACCAACATCTAGTCCTAAAATGGCCCCACCCCCATCCCCCTTTGCTGACAACACTACACAAATACCCAGCCCGCCTGTCACAAAACAACCGTGATTAAAAGACGCGTTATGCTCACACCAAAGCAAATGTTTGGTGGTCTCTTCACACCCAGTTAAACTCAGAACACTCTTTACCCATATTGGTGAGTTGAATAAGGAATGGGTCGCAAGAAAGGAAAAAAAATGCCTCCGTTAAAATATAATTAACCCACTGTGTCCCCAGCCAAATACACTGAAAACATCACTGCATTCACACGTGACCCTCACAAAGTCCCCAAAGGACTTCTCAAATGTAGAAATGTTACACAAAATATATAACACACAAAAAAATCCAAAGATTAGGCACTGGCACGGTACTCATGCCTGTAGATCCCCACATATAAGGCCAAGGCTGGTAGGAAATCACCTGAGGTCCAGGAGTTCAAGACCAACGACAAATGTCCAAACGTGGTGGAAAGGCCCCAAATCTTTACTAAGAAGTACAAAAATTAAGCCTGGCATAATAGGTGGGTGCCTGTAAACCCAGCCTACTTGGGAGACTGAGGCAGAAAAAGAATCAACTCTGAACCCTGGGAGATGGAGGTTGCAGTGACCGAGAGCTGCATCATTGCACACCAGTCAAGACAAGAGCAAAACTAATTCCGGTCTTAAAAAAAAACCTTCTTTACTTGTTTCAGGCCATCTGGATGTATATATACATGCAAGTCACAGGGGATATGATGGCTTAGCTTGGGCTCAGAGGCCTGACATTCCTGCCTTCTTATATTAATAAGAAAAATACCATAAAATAGTATTGAAGTGTTGGGGCAGTGAAAAGTTTTGGGGGGTGGCATGGAGAGATAATGAGCAATGTTTCTCAGGGCTGCTTTGAGCAGGATTAGGGATCATGTGGGAACCTAGAGTGGGAGAGGTCAAGTTGAAGGAGGATTTTGTGGTAAGGGGTGATACTGTGGGGTTGTTAGAAGGAGCATTTTTCATGTAGAATGATTGGTGATGGCCTGGATACGGTTTTGGATGAATTGAGAAACTAAATGGAGGATACAAGGTCTGAATAAAAGAAGGAGAAAAAAAGTATTAAAGGACTAAGAATTGGGAGGACCCAGGACATCCAATTAGAGAGTGCCCAAGGGGGTTCAGCGTAATTACTTGCTCGGTTGGTGGATTTTTGGGCTCTATCCTTAAGTTTTTTTATGTTGTCATACACCAGGCCAGATTGATTTAGGTAAAAACAACAGTCTTCATTTAAAAATATACAGAGTCCTCCTTTTTCAGCAGTAAGTCAAGGCCTCGGCGGTTTTGGAGGACAACTGCAGCTAAAGAGTCAACTTGGGCCTGGAGGACTGATAAAGTTTATATTATGTCTGTGATGCTAGCAGAGATGTCATTAGAAAGGCTATGAAAGGTCATGACAGAGGTTGAAATGCCTACTATTCCAGTACCAAGAGCAATAGTGGAGGCAGAAAGTCCTAAACTGACAAGCAAGGGAATTAGTGGAATAGCTCTTTTTCGTCATGTTGGTGTCATGAGGGGAACAGGGAACTCTTCGGTCCCATTTGCAAATTGAATTTTGGGAGTAAGGAAAACTAGTGTGCATGTGCCTGTCCAATTAGCGGGTAGACACATGTAGGTAGAAAGCCACAGAGGAAGAAGAGGCTTGTGCGAGGCAAAGCTGGAAATGCAAAGTAAAATGAAAAGGAGTACTGAAATTGGTGCCTTCTACCCAGACTCTTAGGGATCCAGCTAGGGCAACAGCTGTCAGAGGTTGTAAAGGGGACTGATGGGGTAACTGCGTAGAGTGGGAGATTTGATTTTCATGGTGTATGAGAAAATATTGAGTGTCTATGAGCAAACTTTCACTGTTATTTACGGGGCTTGGTATGAGTAAACAAGAAGAGGGCCTGGGAGGAGAGTCTGACTAGAAAGGGGAAGGTAGCCAAGGATGGAGTGAAATACAAGGCAAGTGTCTTCCTAAGCAATACTTACTGCTAATGTTTTTAAGTTTGCCAGTATTGATAGAGGGCTTGTCTGTAATATGGAGCTGGAAGGCTCCAATTGTTTCAATGATGTGTGTAGTTGGGCTTTGGAGATGAAGAGTGAAGGAACATCAAAAAGGTGAAAGGTTACCCAGGGAATTCCAGTGGGTCTTTGCCAAGAGATACATAAAGGAGCAGCCACAGGAATAGTAGTTTGTGTTGTGAGGGCTCCAAACATGGGGAGAGTAGAGTTGATATAAAGAGAAAGATTTTTTAAGTAAGTGCAGAGGAGGGTGGCAGCTTGCTGTTGTGAAATGTCTGGGGAGATCTTGCTGGACCTGTCTAGAAAGTAAAGAAGTTCTTCAGGAGGGTAAAAGTGAGGGCTGTTAAAGGAAGTTTGGAGGTGTAGGGAGACAGGTGCCCAGTCTGTATGTAAGGCGAGGACAGCTGTGTAGAAAGGGAAATGCAAAGCCAAAAATTGTTCGCTGAGGAGGGATTAGAAATAGCTAAGAGAGAGTGAGTAAGGTTGATAGTGTGGTGGAGATAGCTGGGGAGAGGTAGAGGGTGGCATAAGGATGGGAATGAGAATAAGAGTGAGTGTAAAAGTAAAGAATAGAACTTCATCAGGGTGAAAGTATTGGGGGGTGCCCTGCCAGCAAAGATCATCTATCCACTCTAAGAAGGAGTTAAGAGTGGTGGTTTAGGGATAGAACCAGGAGATATCAGCTGTGATGTCTTAGAGAAACAGTGTAAACCAGCAGTGTAAACAAGAGTAGGGCATTTATGAGTAGTTGAGAATGATAAATAGGAGTATGACTAGACAGAAGATAGCAGGGTGACTAGTTTTTGGGGCTCAATCCAAGCAGTGGGGGTGACTGTGTAAAGCCCTGTTACAAAAAGTAGGGTAAGAATGAACAGACCTAATAGAATAAAGGGATGTATTAGGCTCATAAGGGTTATTACTCTTCTTCAGAAATGCGAGTGAGTTTAAGGGAAGTAGGGGAGAGTACTTGCAACTTCCAGGAGAAGGAGGAGGTATTAGGCTGGTTGTCTGATGAACACAGCTTTATTCTGGAATGGTGAGCCCAGTGGGCTGGATCCTGCAGACAAATGGCAGTTGGGGTACTATAGATGACTAAGTAGGGTCTGGTCCATCAAGGTTGTAGAGTTTGAGGGGTCAGATTCTTAACAAGAACTGATCGTCCAGCTAGGGTGTCTTCATATGGCTGGGAATCTGGAGTAGGCAAGAGATTAGCAGCCTGGTGAATTTCCTGTCTAGCCTGCTGGAGGACTGGAAGATAGTTGCCAAGAGGGCTGGTGTCTGGGACAAGGTTGGGGCTGAGCAAGAAAGTACATCCATATAAAATTTTAAATGGACTGTACCCTGTAGCATCTCGAGGACAGGCTCTAATACTGAGAAGGGCAAGAGGTAAAAGTACTGTTCAGTCCTTTTTAAGTTGGAGGCTGAGCTTGGTAAGGTGTGTCTTTAAAAGATGATTAGTCTGTTCTACCTTTCCTGAAGATTGAGGATGGTAAGGGATATGAAGTTTCCACTGAATACCAAGAGCCTGAGAAACTGCTTGGGTGATTTGACTAGTAAAGGCTGGTCCGTTATCAGACTGTATAGAGGTGGGAAGACCAAACTGAGGAATTATCTCTAACAGAAGGGAAGAAATGACCGTGGTGGCCTTCTCAGACTCTGTGGGAAAGGCCTCTACCCATCCAGTGAAAGTGTCTACCCAGACCAAGAGGTATTTTAGTTTCCTGACTCGGGGCATGTGAGTAAAGTCAATTTGCCTGTACTGGGCAGGGGCAAATTCTTGAGCTTGATGTGCAGGGAAGGGAGGAGGCCTGAACAATCCCTGAGGGGGAGTAGAATAGCAGATAGAACACTTAGAAGTGATTTCCTTGAGGATAGATTTCCACGATGGAAAGGAAATGAGAGGTTCTAAGAGACTGGCTAGTGGCTTATAACCTACATGGAAGAGGTTATGAAATGATGACAGAACAGAGTGGGCCTGTGAGGCTGGAAGGAAATCTTTTCCTTGGTCTAAGAACCATTTGCCTTGTGTGGGAAGAGATTGATAGGTGGAAATTTCAGTGGGGGAATACATGGGAGTGACTGATGAGAAGGAGAGAAACTGACCATGAGGGACAGAAGTTGGAATGCTAACTGCTTCTTTAGCTACCTAATCAGCATAAGCATTGCTTAGAGCAATGGGATCTGACACCTTTTGATGGCCTTTGCAGTGAATGACTCCAGCTTCCTTTGGAAGTAAAGTGGCCCTGACAAGAGTTTTTATTAAAAAGGCATTAATGATAGAGGACCCTTGTGTAGTGAGGAAACCTCTTTCTGCCCATATAACAGCATGGTGGTGCAGGGTATGAAAGGCATATTTAGAGTCAGTATAAATATTGACACG